GATGCATGGCATGACATGAACGTCTATAATAGAAAAGAGAGAAAGTGGGGAATGGTGCATGGCGTTTCTTGGCGTGAGTGTTTTGAGGCAATTGGTTTGATTTGGTGAGCTGAAATATTGTTGACTACTTTATAATTCTATGTAATTCTGGAATTTCACCTTTACATGAAATGGTAGTTTGCAGCCTATCACAGGGAATTTGTGCAATTTGGCAACCACCCAGATGAGAAAGTATGGGATTTGGAGTTGCAAATTGCATGAATTGCAGATAAATATAATAGAGTTTGACCTTCTCACTATCTATAATACATTATTTTTTTGGAGGATAAGCAGTGGGTGATGACCGTTAACCTAATAAAATGACATTTTTTTTTTTTTACTATATATATTTATTTCTTATTTTATATTGTCGACTAGCACATATATATACAAAATATTAAAGTACATATATGTGTGTTACACATAAATATGTGTGTTACCTAGTTAATTGTGTGGTCACCTAATTAATTGGATTATATATTATACACACACATGTTATGGGTGGTCACCTAATTAATTGGATTACACATGTCCTGTTAACTCATCCACTTGTTTAACAAATATTATATTAAATTAAATTAACCAAGACAACCAGAATCCTTTCATTTGTCCACGACCTGTTCTAATTAACTTGGAGAATTTATTATACTTTAAAAAAAATTGAAGAATTTAGTTTTAGGTGATCTGGACCTTTACCAATTTTGGGATGTTAGTTTGTTTTTAGGTCATCCTTTTCTCATGAACAATTTTGATTTCTGATGAAACTATACATATATATATATATGCGTATATTAGCAGATTACAGTATTTTAACCAACTACTTCATTTACAGTCATTTCTATCCTTACAATTCTTGTAGCTTGAAATATAAGATAACTATTGATGAGTTTTACCCTCATTTTCTTAATGGTTATAAAATAATTCAACTTGATTTAAGAATTTTCAAGGATGAAGAGTGATAAATCTAATTGTTTTACATAAAAGATTGTTAGAGTAGAAGTTACAACATGCATTCACATTATTATCTATAATTTTCTTTAGGAGAAAGATGAAACCATAAAATAATACAGGACCATGTAAAATTTTGTAGAAGAAGAAGGACCGAAGAAATAACAAGTATCCTTTGAAGTAAAGTATCAACAACCATATAAAGGTCCCTATGAATTCAATAATAAGAAATAAAAGAAAACTAAAGTGAAGTGTCATAGGGCATTGAAGTTGTCTCATTTGTGCCAATTAGCTAATTTAATAGATGAGAGGGTTGGAAATTCTCCTCATAGTTGTAAACAACACCAAATATTATAATTGATTTTAATCATCTCCTTCTATGGCAAACACCATTAATTGATTAGATTATCTCCACTTAACCCTTGTGACTCCGTTTACATGCCCTAATTATTCTCATTTATTTTAACAGGGAGCCTTGTAATTAATTCATTAGGAAGTACTAATTACCATGGTGAATCCATTAATTTTGAACTCCACCATATGCCCCCATAAAACCTAAAGAAACCGTGATAGGGATTTTATGAGGTAAGGGTAAAAGACAAGCAAGAAAATATTGCAACTAGCCTTGGGGTGGATATTATGGAAAGTCCCCGAATGGGCTACAATTCCATATAATTAAAGGGTACATGTAGTCCCAAAATAAATTATCAACATTCTCATCTTCCAATCTACATTTTGAATAAATAGTATCCATACTAACTAGTAATTTTGTGATATTTTAAATGCAATTTAAGACATAAAAAATGTCATATACAAAAATATATTATGCAATGGAACAAATAATTGCAATTCCTTACAAAATATAATAGAGTTCCATACAATATTTGAGACAAAAACAAAATTAATTATAAGTCTCTACAAAAGAGGACTCATCAAAGTGTCGAAATAATTATGTGTTAATAAAAGGTTCATGGATCCACGAGATCCTTAAAGACTTCAGGGGTAGATCAACGATCGGTTACTTACTATCTTCCTCATCTAGAGGGGGAGGGATATAGAAAGGAGTAAGTTTCACATACTCAGTAAGAAAAATAATATTTAAATAATATCATAAAATTTCGAAAGTAATTAAAAATACTATCATCACTTGCCATCGAGAGTCATATTAGAGTTCTTTATTAATTATGAAAACGATTTATTTTAATAAAGAAAATGTCAAGTCAAAGTCATATAATGTCAATCAAATTAATCATGCTGAAAATATGAAAATCAAACAAATCATGTTATACACTATTTTTCATTTTATTCTTCACGCGAAGTCGTTCCGACTTCCATCTACCGAGGGCAATATGAATTTTTAACAACCCATGTGGAATGACCAATTCATTTCATTTATAACAGCAATTGCGGCTTGCCAAACCAATAATACATTTATAGCTTGCCAAACCATGACACGATTTATGACCACAGTCGTGCCAACTGCAATGGTCCAACATATTAACTATGGTCACGGTCATACTTCGTATAATCATATTGCGTCACCACTCTCGTTAGATATACACCAACATCCACAGAGAACAGTCCTCTCACATCTTTTCAGATTAGAGGGGGAAAAAATAGAAATCTTTAGAGATAAAAAGTCTAACGAAACACTTTATGAATTATGCATGCTAATACCAATATATATTTCTCATGTCTATACACCATATCATGCTTAATCATTTTGTCATGGTCAATTGCATCACATATTAATATTTATCTCAAACATTAAATTATTTAAATTACACATGCAAATAATAAGTTCACATACATTCATAAAACATGTATTAACACGTAAAATTACTTCGTTTAAGCATAAAATTTAATCATGCAATCATTAATTAAAACTTTATTAATTTTACTCTAGAAATGTTCCTTAGGATGTTTAAAAGTAAATACTAAATTCCTTAACGAAACATTAGTATTTCCTAAGCCTTTTATTCTTCTCTTCCTCTCTCTCTCTCTAGATCACTCCCTCTCTCTCTAAAGCTTTTTGGTAGATAGAAAAATGAAATAGAAGTGATGAGAAAATGGTGAAGTGAGGGTTCCTATTTATAAAAAAATAAAAACTGTTAATTTTGAGTTAAGTGATGAAATTTGGTGAAGAGAGAGAAGTCAATAGAAAAGGTGAGATGTGATGACCGACGATAGATGACACGATGTGATATCGGCACAAAAATCGAAGACATGCCACCAAAATGATGGTGTCACATAACCCAAGAGATGGCGGCACGCTGCCCAAGCCTACCGCGTGCCGCAAGCCTACCACGCAAAAGTCTATGTACGTAACTTGCGCACAGGCCTACCACAGGGACATTGCGCAGAGCCACGAGCCCATTTGCGCATGATGGGACATGCATCGTGCCTCGCACCCCGCGCGAATTGGACATGCACACAATGCGCATGTCCTGTGTTGGCCGGTGCGCGCACTCGCGTGGGAAAGATGGATTTCTGCCATTTTTCTCCGAAATATTTTTATTTAATAATAAAAATATAATTTTCCTATGATAAAATAGAATAGTACATTTCAAAAATTATTTAATCAAATAAAATACGACATATGAAATTCATTCAAAAATTTAAAAATATGAAATATTAAGGAGTTTAAACGGTTTTAGGGCCTGAATAAATAAGGATTTACATTATAAATTAAGCAATTAAGTTTTTGGGGTGTTTCATTCCCATCACGTTAGAAACTTTGGTCCCCTAAATTTGTCATTAATAGGTCTGAAAACTTTTCTCGCATTTCACTCTTTAATTCTTACGTCGCCTCTTCCAGAATGTGGTGTTGCCACTGCACCTTCATCATTGGAATCCTCTTGTTGCGTAAAACTTTATAGGTCCAATCAATAATTTTTGCGGGGAACTCTTCATACATCATATCAACTTGAACCTACATCTCTTAGTGAAGAATGATGTAAGAAGGGTCAGGGTGGTACCTTTTGAGTATGGAGACATGAAAAATATTATACAGACCTGCAAACTTTGGGGGCAGAGTGAGGTAATACACCATGGATCCAACGCGTTCCATGATCTGAAAAGGTCCTATATAACGGGGGCTCAATTTTCTCTTCTTGTCGAACCGCATTTTTCCCTTATAAGGAAATAACTTAAGGAAGACTTGATCGCCAACAAAAAATTCTAAAGGTCTTCTATGGTTTTTGGTGTAGTTTTTCTAGAGACTCTAGACGGTGGCTAAGTTCTTATGAATGTCAACAACTTTCTCGATAGTCTCATGGATGTAATCTGGTCCTAAACGACATTGGTTCCCGAATTCGTTCCAACAAGTAGGAGAATGACAGTGTTTACCGTAGAGAGCTTCATATGGAGTTATGTCGATATTAGAATAATAACTATTATTATAAGTAAATTCACACAAGAGAAGACGCTCATATAAGTTATTACTAAAATCAAGGACACAAGTACACAATATGTCTTCCAATATCTGAATAGTACGTTTAGACTGGCCATCAGTCTAGGGATGATAGCCGGTGCTGAAGTACAGTCTCGAATCAAGTATTTTTTAAAAGTTGTCATAGAAATAAGAGGTAAACTGGGGATCTCAGTCTGACACAATGGATAAAGAGATGCCGTAGAGTCGAACAATCTCCTCGACGTACAGGCAAAC